GGACAATAAATGGGCTTTTAAGAAGCCCTGTCAAATACTGTAATCAGATCATACCATTTAGGCAGCTAATATTATTAAGGCAGTGCAAACAATGATAACTGCAGTTAAGACCTGCGTAGCTCTGCAATGAGATCCTATTTTTATTTACTGAAGCGGCGTACAAGCACCAAAACCAACGTATCAGCTCGAACTAGTGGTTTCTTTATACTACTATTCAGGGTCCAAAACTAAAATGCTTCAGAGGAATGTACAAAACCAATTCCAGGGGGAAAGTCTGTTTCTAGTCTGAACACATGCCTTTCCTACAAGCTAACAATTTTTTCCCCATGCACGCATACACTGTGTACCATATCCTTTCCACGTCTTCCAGAAAGGGAAAAACAGCATTCCAGGAAGAACCCGGGGCAGAACAACACCACCTTCCAATGGAAAAAAAAAAAAAAAGTTATTCCCAGCTGCTTTGTGAACTTTATATATTTGTACCATGCTGTTTCTAAAATGTGAGTAGATGCTACGAAGTTGCAAATTATGTTAGAGGAATGAAGGTAAAAATGACCTGGGGGTTAAAACTCCAGTAGATTTGGAAGAAATAAGAGTTAAGTATGGAAATGGTAACTTTTGCAAGCTTCTTCGTTAATGTTACATATTCCATCCAGTTTATAAATATCTTGGCATAACGAGTCTAATTAAGTTTTAAAAGCAAGTGTCTCCCTAAATTACAGTTACTCAGAAATTAAAGATAAACCTTCCACCCCCTTTTCCAATTACCTGCATTTCTGTGCAAGGAGATGACATCTGCTGTCTGCACAGACACATTAATATTAGATCCTACGACCTCAATAGTCTCATTTTTCAGGTGGATGCAGAGAATAACTTACAGAGCAGAGTTATGGCAACACTCAAAGAGCACATGCAGGTCACCCATCAAATTAGCATTCCATAACAAAATAGATACTTAAAGTAAAAAAATCTTTCAATTCAAGTAGTACTTCAGAAACGTTCTTCCTAAATTTCAGCAATCAGAAACAAGAAAAAACATCCCCAGGTAGGATTCCTTTCATGACACATTTCTTCACTGATAATATTTTCCAATCTATTCCCAGAAGGAGGAACTTGAGGCTTGTTCAAATGCTCTGGCATCTCAGGAGACAGTATCTTGGGAGGATGCAGCGCACACTGCCTGGTAACAAGCAAGCCTTCCAAGCTGCAGGCATTTTAAGGATAAGAAACGTTAATCACATCTCACTCCTCTTACGAGGTTTTCTGGTTCTAACAAATCACTGAAATGACAAAGTGCTTCTTGCGTCTGAACATGAAAATTACACATTTTCCATTTCATTCTGTGCGTATAAAGACAAAGTTGTCTGAACTAAGTTTTCTCTGTACAAATAGTACTTTGAAGCAAATGCAGCTCCAATATTTATGCTACAACCTTTCTTTGAAAAACATGAGATTTAGAAGTTGACAGTTTTGGCATTCTTCATCGATAAAAACCTTGGAGTGAATCTTTGGATGAACAGTACTGTGCCTCTGCTGTACGAACTTGGAAAATAAAGACTTTACGATGACATAATCAGTCACATTCTCAAAGAAACCTCTTAGTTTGATTTGAAAATAAGTTGGGCTGTTTCTCAGCACAAGTTTTAGTACCACCTAACAGCCAGTCCTTTAGGTGTTTCCAAGGCAGAGGGCTAAAACAAGGTTGACTGCTTAAAAATTTCATGTAAAAATCTATCCTTTTCAAAAGGTCAGCATTTAACAAGTGAAGAGTTTTACAGCAACATTAATCCAACCGTGCTGCAGATCTTTTCCTGTCCTTGATGAATGCAGCTAGAGTTTATGTCCATTAAGAAAGCTGCTAGAGACCATTTCACTTAGCACCAGCTCTTTCCATGATCTTATTGCAAACTTTGCAGTTCGTCTTCTACTGATGCTTGCTATCCTGATATTAATTCCTATAAAATGTGAGTGAATTTGCTGCATTTTCAATTTTTTTTTTTCCTTTTACTCCTTTCTAGCTAGAACTACAAAGTTAATGCTATTGTGTTGAACCTGAAGCTCTTTTCACACAATCACAGGATGCCCGGGGTTGGAAGGAACCTCTGGAGATCATCTGGTCCAAGCCCCCTGCCAGGCAGGGTCACCTAGTACACGAGGGTCACCCAGTATATTTTCCTAACATACTTTCGCAAAACAACAGTTTATATAAATTTAACAAGAAAGCTTCACATTATTACATAGCACTTAATTCAAAAGTTGAAAACATATTAAAAGCTTAAAGCAAATCCCTGAAAAACACCATTAAGACTTTAAAAGTAATGCAGAAGTTTGTTTAATGGCCTGCAAGCTACTTTCCCAAAAGTAAACCAAACCAAACCCCAAACCAGAGCTATTCATTCCCATAATTTCCTTAGACATATTATTTGCATATCAGATAGAAAGCTGTACGGAGCAAGCTAATAGGAAACGCTCAGAGAGCCCTCATAAAACCCCAGCATCCAAGTCAAGAGGTGCAAGCAGACTTACCTATCCAGGACACAGAACTTAACATTTTCTTTAGAGGGCAAACAAAACACTGAAATTCTCAAGTCTTAACCTCTCAAGTACTTAAGCTTATTTTATTTTCTCTCTTTTTTTTTTTTTGTTATCTTTCTGATAATATATAAACATGAAGCATTTAAAAAAGCATACTGAATTACATATATGATCTTCAACACCTCAAAGTCTTTGGTTCACCAGCGCTCCTGCCCCTGTATTTCAAGCCCGTCTCTTCTTTGTTATAGAAAGGCTTATTTTATTACAGGTTTGTTGAAAGTTTTATGGAAATCAACTTATTTCTTTTTACCTATTGTGTCAGCATTTAACCTTTACCATACTATTCAGTGCAACTCAGTAATGTGCTATTAAATCGCAAATAAGGCAAATCTCAGTTCTAAGGAGTGCATTTATCAAGTAAAAAAATGATAACAGATTAATTACATCTATAATGAGGAAGGATAGTAGGACTAGAGCATATGGTAAGTACCTCCAGAAAAACTACTCAATGGTACTACTGCTGCAGAGCCTAAACCATGTCCTGGAGACGACAAAATCAGAATTGGGTTTCTTGCATAGCTTCTTCATCAGAAGGCTGTCACCAAATTGTGCATCTTAAATATTCCTAAAAATAACTGGATGATACTACTCATGTAACTCAAATCCAAGAGCCTTTTTCTTATCACATCGCATTCAACATTTCTCTCCTTTTTCACTTTCTTCTGGCATGGCAAGTTTTCCAAAGGGGGACATGGAGGTAGGCGTCGATTATCTTCTTTTCATTTCTCACATTAGTTTCCACAGCCATTTAAATACAAAAAAGCAAAAAGGACCACCCAGTAATGTACAGTCTTGTGAAGACAACTCTGCATCTGCACAGAGTCAGCACACTACACGAATATTATAGAATAGATGGGAACCTTGTGCTACCAAGCTGCAAAAACAGGAAAAGTGGGGAAAAAAAAACTTCAAGAAAGCAAACCACAGAGATTGTCCACATTAAAGGATTAAATTAAAAGCCTTATCAACTTAAAGCTAGGCAAAGAAAGCATCTTCTGCTAATCAGAATTACTGTGATGAACCACACAACTAGAAGCTGTTCAGATTCTAGTGTCCTGGCCTCAAAGTTTTTTTTTTCTTTTTTTTTTTTATCTGATAACACTCATTCTTTTCAGAAGGAATGGGGACAATAAGGAACTCAAAACTGTGTGTTGGCAGAAGTACATGCATCTTCAAAGTAACAATGTACTTATTAGGACCAATAATTTTAACCCGTTTCTTAGGGTGCATCATAGTACAGGCAACCAAGCATCATCTTCAGCTTTCAAAACGGTTTTCACTTCAGATTTTTTTTTTTTTTTACTAGATCTGTTTGTTAGTTTAAATACATAAATGTTACATGCAATTGAAAAAAAATGCATTTTGCCTGCAAGCTGCGTCTGACATTGCAACTGGAAAATGCTTGTAGTAACTAATTCCACCCAGGCGTAAGACACATTCTTAAGTTGTTTGTCTTCCTTCAATTATACCCACTTTGACAGGGATTTCTAATCACAGTGAATTTACTTCATGATTTCATTCAGTCTTGCATCATAGCTTCCTGCCAGAAACTGCTCTGCGCATTTCTTCCTAGAAGACAGTCACCAGACCACAACGGAGAAGACCCACCACCTTCTCCACAGCGTTTCTTTACAACAGAACAGCCACGGAAAGGGGGGAATCCCAACACCAGGGTTCTGCATTTGTCTGTCTTTAACATGCGGGATTCTGTTCAGAAATCTGCTCTTGTATGGCATTGGCCCAAACATGCAACTCTCATGTTTGGTTTGAGAAGTATTTCATCAGAAGACAAAAAGCAAAACTAGGTATCTTTCTAGATGGTTTAATGTGATACAGGAGACAGAATCAGGGTACTACCCTTTTGCTTCTAATTTTAAAATTGTTATATTTACTACAGCAGAGCTCCAGCATTTCTTAAGATGAAGATGATTTCCAGTTCAAACAAATTTCTTAATTTCTTCCTACTTTTTACACCAGTAAGGAAATTTGAGCTACCCCCTTTAAGGTAATTATTAGGAAATTGATCTGTTAATTTAGAGCTCCCCAATCAAAGTAATGTATTTAAAATAGCATCTGAACAAACAGATCAGGAAATCAAGACAGCAGATAGCAACTTTTTTTTTTCTCCAGCATGAGAAGAGCAGATCTCCATTAAACTCTTTCACACCATTTCCTAAAGAGCTAGCATCACATTTCAGTAGCCATCCCTCTCCCTCCAACCCTACTACCAAGAGCCATTACATGCAGCTTCTAAAGGCAAGCAGTTAAATACTACCAAGGAAACAATGATTGTCACAATGCAACAGTGTATTAAGGCCAGTGAATAAAATTACTTATAAATAACACTGATTTCTAATAAACTCTGCTTTTGCAAAGGTAACCAGAATAAAAGCACAACAATTCTGTAGTGTACCAAGTGTATATTTCAATTTACTGTATGCAGTCTAACAACAAATTTGGTCATAATTTACCAGATATACATAAATGATTTAAGTAGTAAAAGAAGATTCAGTTCCAAGAGAAAAAGTTCATACCTCAAGGGAAAAAAAATAAAAAAAAACAAATGAAAACAAACAAAATAAACAAAAACAAAAGGAAGATACATTAAGAGTGTAGAGCCAGGTCCAGTTTCTAAGCATTAAGTGAGCAGTATTCTAATAAAGCAGATTTAGGTGAATTTCATATATATATATATATTTATATATATAGACAGATCTACCAATTGTAAACTATGGTTTTAAAGGGGATAAATGGGATGGAAAAATCTTTATGCTATACTTACATATTCACAAAGCAGAACATTACTTTAACGTTTAAAATACTTTTTCATTCATATCATCTTTGCCCAACTAATTTCTACTTTGGACCCCACCAGAATTACACATTACTCATTTCAGTCTAGAACAATGAGAATAAGATGTATTCTTCAGTGTAAAAAATAAAATAAAAGGCACCCCACCCACCCACCCCACCCCCAAAAAACTAATCATTTGTCAGGTTTACAATAATGTGGAAACTAACAATGAAACAAATTGAGGATAAAAAAGTATTTTAATTCCCATATAACTGTAGTTCAAACTTATCTCAGCTTCAATCAGCAAAAACAACGTCTTAACATTATGTTACTGTTCTACTGATGTAAAGGACAACAGTAAAGCTTGTCTCTTTAAATACATACCAACTTTGATCAGATGGAGCACCATTAAGATTCTGTCCGTCAAAGCATAGTTCAAAGTTATCCACACAACTAGCATAATTTAGTTACCTGATATAAAATAGGAAAAAAATATACTCATTTTAAAATTAAACAAAGCTGAAGAATATGGTGACCCTCGATTGGTTTTTATACAGTACTGTCACACTGGCCTAGCTATGTGTTATGACAAATGCTCTGCATATTTACTCATTGTGACATAATAGCACATCAGATGTATTGTTCCAATGATTGCCTGAATTCATTTGCCTTACTCTAGAGAACACCAAAGAGTTTAAGATAAAGATGTAATGCCCTCCCCTCCCTGTGAAAGAGGCCTGAAATCATTGGTACAATATTACAAGCTTAAGAAAAAAAAAAATCCACGTGGCTACAAAAATTCAAGTTTAAATGCCTCATAGAAAATTTGAAACAAAGAGTATAGGGAGCATATCATCCTGAAAAAGACAACTCAAAGAGCATTATTTTGCTTTGGACTTTGTTTTGTTTTCTTTAAAAAAAAATCCAGCAAATTAAGTCAACAAGTTAAATGTAATTGATTTATATTAAACGCTAGCAATATCCCATTAAATACAAAAGAATAAAAAATAGTTTGTGTTCATTTTAATGACAGACGATGGGCACAATAGCCTAGTGTCCAATTCATATCACATAAACTAGCCAAAAAGCGGACAAGAAATTATATACCAAAAAGTCGTTTAATATGACACTTTCTCCATTTCTTGTATTTTCATTTTGTGGGACTGAGGTATACAGCAGGGGAGTCAAAAAGTGTGGGGAGTGAGGGGAACCTTAGAGGGAAAAGGAAGCTTTATTACATCAGATACTTTTTAGCATGACTATCTCTTTTGACTAAGGGGCAGAAGAGTTACCCATGCTCTGATCAGTCTATTAAATTAATAATTGGTCATTTCTTCTGCAAGATTATTTTGGAACTGATAAGTCAATAGCAAATTTCTTGAAAATTCACAACTGTGAAGAAACAGACTCTAAATTAATGCCATCATTAACATCTCCAGTGCTTATCACCTGTACCACCTGCTGGCTTAGAGCCAAAAGTTTTAAAACCAAATTTCAATAAGGTGTTGGCATTATCTGTGATGCATATTTAAGGAATTGGCTTTCACCTATCGGAGTACGGGAGAGGTAAGGTTTGTATGGCAAAGACATGCTTGTAGGAACAAAGCCACTATCCCAAATTAGCTTTACTGGTTCATTAATAAAGTATGAGTGGAGTTGGGGAAGCTGTCTTTGTATTTCCATACCAAGTTGCAATTTTCTTCATTCATGTTAACAGATACATGAATGCGTAACGTAAGTACAGTTACTACTATGTCTGAATAGGACCCAAGTAGCTATATCCTATAAATAATAAAAAATACATTTTTCTTTTGATAACTGACTGTAGATGTGAGGACTCTGTATAATTCAACCAAATGGTTGTATGCTGTACAGTCCTGTGCAAATATCATAAAAAAATTAATAATCCTTTTTTGCTATAAGGCTTTGACCCTACAATTTTCACAGCAACATAACTACCATCCAGCCTGTACCATATTTCGCAAGCCTTCAGTCCAGAAATTCAAATAGTCAATCCATAGAGCGTCCATTTCCGGCACCCCGAAGCCATATGCTCTTGTCAGTCATCTAAAGGCATACAAACTTCCCCAGATTCATCCCATCGAGACTGGTCATTCTGTTCTTCTACGTCATCACCAAGCTCCTCATCACCTTCTCCCACTTCATTTTCCTCGTATTCTTCATCCCTAGGGAAATCTGTGTCCTGCACCTGGTCTGCTCCCTCTTGCCCTCCAGGCTGAGATTTATCTGCACAGTCTACACAAACTCCATAGCGTCGAGATCCATGTCTTATTCCAACGCTGGCTGCTAGCATAAAGATCTTCTTACACACCATACATTTATACTTTTTATCCTTTTTATGCACCTATGGAAGAGAAAGATTACAGGGTGAAAACACATACATCAGATTGTGCTTGTATATATTAACAGTAGTATTCTAGTACTAATTACTAACAAAAAACATTTTTATTACCTCAACACTGTTCAGAGGAAGAGCAGTGCTAGAGATCCATTCTCACTACATCAGCTACTTCCCTAACTAAACCACCTCCTTACTGCTCAGTGGGTAGCTGAATAGCTGCCTGCTCTGTAAGGAGGCGAGTGTTCATTTTTACAGCTGCTCACAGTTCAGACCAAGACACCAAATGGCACCAAGAACAAGTATAAGCACTTATGCTACACTCAGTATCTTACCAGATACGCTCATTTAGAAAACTGCCGTTACAATTTTAAGCCCAGAAAAATTATAAACAAGCAGGAGTTTAAATTCAGTTGGAATTGAAAGACCAGGATCCCTCTTTTATACCCCCAACCCGATGCCAGCCAAGCAAAACCAATGCTGACAACACTTTTTCACTCCCGTTTGAATTTTCTGTCCTTGAGGCTGAGTGAGCCTGCGTGCAGAGTTAGAAGACCATTGTTGACTAACTTGACTGAACATAAATTTTAATATTTAGCCAACAGTGCAATTCTAACAGAGTAGTTGCTGTTATACATTTTAAGAACAGGGAAAAATTAATTCAAGAGTACGTTACTCTTACAAGTAGCTCAACTGAGCAACAATAAACAATAGTTTTTGTCTTGGAAAAAAAATGAAGTCGAAGGCTTTTATCTCATATCTTAAATAACCCATTTGAGGTCACGTTGAAAAAGTTGCTCTTTCAGATAAAAGAGAAAGTACCACCCAGATGAGGAAAAAAAGCAAGGTCAAAAAACAAATAGTTACTTCAGTCCCTCTTAATCTGTACAGTTGATAAAACTTAGCTCCTGGGACACATGGTATCACCACCAATAAGGCAGTAACAACCTTACTTCCTCTGCCCAGCCAAAAAAACACCACATACCATCACCACATCCATCACTGCAGTCACCTACACATACTACAGAACACAGTGTCCTTCAGACTCAGTAACATCATAGGTACTCCTGTCCCTTCAAGCATCTAAGCCTTCACCCAGTGGCTCATACCAGCAGGATGAGAGGGAGCAGATTCAGACTAGAAAGGTATACTTGAACTGAGAGAAGTCAAGCAGGATGAAAGATTTTTAAAATTTCTTTTAAAAATTTACTTGCCTTGCCTACCTGTACAACAGTTTCAGGAAAACTGAAAATTACTACAGTGGTCTTAGGCATCATCTAGAATTACATTCTTATATATTCCCATAATCATTTACTTTTAAAAATATTACTGGCTAACAGAAAGTCTATTTTATGACAGCACAGGACAGAAAAGAAAGTTAAGATGACTTGCACCAACAGCTCTTTACTGCATCCATATGAAAACCTGGAAGCTCACAACTAGATTTTCTACTCGTTCAGGAACCACAGGACAAAACCAGGAGGCTACACAGACTTTGTGGACAACCTTTCTAAGCTGACCCACTGGTTCTCAAAGGCCTGAGGAAAGCCATCAAAATGGAGAAAAAGCCCAAATTACCCTATTTCACGTAGTATCCTATTTTGAGTATGTGCAAAATGAGTTTGTTGTTGTTTTTTTGTTTTATTTTTAAGATCACAGCTTGAAGAAACGCTACCACCTTCTCTCTACCAATATGATCTTACTTCTGTTACCTCCCTAAAACACACCTTAGATTTTATACTGTAAATACTATCATGAAATCTCACCTGTTTCCTTACAGACTAGAAACTACCTGCAATGTAGCCAAGACAGACAATAGGCTCTCTGACCCTTCAGATAAGTAGCACTCAAATCAATTCCCATTTATGCAACATACAAAGGACAGGGTAAGCTCAACTGCTGAGTAGATGGTACTTGCAGAACGTCAGTTCAGAAGGATATTTACTGTCTGTATCTCACGTACTTCTCATTTTAACCAAAATCTTAAAGCACATAATACAACTACAGCACTGCCTAGTTGTGAAGTGTTTCACAACTACCCCAAGATGTACAATTCTTGTTTAACACGGTGTCCTCACAGAAAATGGCGGTGCGACATTATAGAATATGCAGACGTGCTACTCTACTGCTGTAACACTAGAGCAAAATTTCCTTTCATTATCTACAGGATACTTACAAATCCTGCAACTCTCATGATCCTTTCAAAGTAATCATCAAATTACCTATCAGAACTCCAGAGACTGTTTTAATTGGTACTGCATTCTACTGAATGCACTTACTGCATGGAGTACGAATGTAGGAGGCAGTTATGACAGACATTTATGTTCATCCATTTTAGATTAACATAAAACAGTTTTACATTTGTCACAATGTAGTCACGACCCCACTTGTACATGTGCATCACACACACAAACAGATGTTACCTACCAAGGAATGTCTCTTTACGTGCTCTCTTCGAGTAAACAGCTTCCCACAGATGTCACAACTGAATGATCTCACGCCTGTGTGAATGAGCAAGTGTCTCTTTAGTGTTCTTCTGTATTTGGCTACATAATTACAGTGTGGACACTTCAACTTGTTCATGATTAAAGCAGAGGAATCGCCTACAAGAAAATAAGCCATCAGGAGAAAAGATGATGAAACACAAGATAATTTCAATATGTTCTGCCTGGTGCACAAAAATAAGCAGGTGCCAAAACAATAAAGCACCCACGTGACTTTTCATCAGCCAAATCAGAACAATGCCTGCCTGCCTGCAGAAAACCACAACTACCGGTGGGTCCAGCACGTATGATCTCGCTAGAAAAATACCTAGCTGTAAACAAGGAATTTTAAGAACAGGAGTACAGATCAATTCTGTGAAAAAGTAGCATTATTTCATGAGTCAGAGTGAGTTAACTGCAAGTTAGCAATAATTCCATTTCCCAGAAATCATCTATACCAGAAAACACTTTAAGATTAGAAACACTGTAGGTGTGACATTTAGAAAGTTATGATCTTCTCTCCCAATAATTTATTTAGAACTAAGTGCAGGAAGTGCCTGCCCTAAGATCTGAATCTATATCAAAGGTATAACCAAGCAAGAATGAATATTGGAAAAAAAAAAAAAAAGAGGATAGTAAAAGGTAGCATAATTCTGGAATAGCTACAAGGGTAAGATATTGGTTTAGATAACTACTCTATTAGAACTCACTTAGCCTCTCCCCAAAATCTAATTCAGTCTAATGGCAGAATAAATAGAGCATAAAAAACTTCTGGAATTAGCAATATCCCAGTTTTGTCTTCTGAAAAAGGGACCTATTAACATCACTTGGCCAGGGACAACACAGCTTGCTAAAAGGTTATCTGAAAAAACAAGGTTTACTACAGTTGCCTATTGCTATATAACATAGAAGGGCACAGGATGCTGTGACAGTTATGAAAATGGCCACACAGGAATATAAAGATTTTGAGAAAGGTGAGATAAGAATTTATGAACATGATTGTAACCATCTACAAAGGAAGCATCCAAAAAGCTCTATTGCCACGTGACTATGTGCGAGAGTTTCTAACTTGCAAGTTGGCAGGAAGAAAGCAAAAACTAGTCTGTTATGTGCACACCTCTAAAATAATGCCTCCCACTTAAAAAACTTCAAAAATTAACTTCCATCATAATGTGGAAGTTAAATTTTGCTAGCATTCAAAAATTGCCTTGGTGTATCTGAACACCCACGCAAACTGCACGTCACCATGATGTCATGTAAGGGGTTACACGGGAAAAAAAAAGTTCAAAAAGGGGTTTGAATTGTAGTTTTATATACTTCAACAGAGGTACAACAGACACACAGACATCAGGGCTGTAAGATGTATGGGAACTTAACAGACTAATAACAGGCAGACCTCAAAAGACCTGAGTTTGAATCCCTTACCCACTAGTGAGTTTCACCTTCTGATGACCCAATTTCTTCCATTTGTAAAACCAAAAATATCTGAAGTAAACCATAAACCACATACCAGTAATATCTCAAAGTCGTACAGAGGCAGGAATTACCATTACCCAGTCTTATGCATCCTCAAGGTCCTCTTTTTTTTAAACTAAAGACTGCATATTTTGATGATCTAGCAATAACAGTTTAAGATGTGGTGTTTTTTTGGTACATTCCAAATGTTTTCAGACAGAAAATAATTACAGGTAATTGCTCACTTGAATAAATAAGACACGCAAGCTGCAAAAGCGTAGGCTACACACCACAAAGTTGACTGAAGATGGCTTTAGTTTTTACTGTATTGTATGCAAAGCTGATATTGTATCTATTTTTTTTATATTAGGAAGTATGCTAAGATCTAATTTAAAATTATAAACAAAGATGCAAAGTTTAATAAGTGTTCAATTTTAAAGCCTAATTAATCTGTAGCTAGCTTATGAAAAAGCTATCAGACAACTAAAGACTTCAGGTACCTTCATATTCAGGCACAATACAAGAGTCAATATAGGTCATGTTCTGTTTTAACTTTCCCGTATGTTTGAATTCCTCTTTCTCTCTCACTCCAAAGAAGTAGTCTTATTTACATTATGCAAAAGGGCAAATGAAGTGGGAGAAGATTATGTAAACACACAATCTAATAAATCTCTATGGAAGTTAATCAAATATTACCTGCAGCGACACACAAGAACTGCTATCAGCGACAAAAAACAACCTGTTCTGTATCAGATATACTTGCCATTTTCCCAAGCTTCTTTTGGCCAAGATTCTGGCAGCAGTCCATACTTGAAGTCACTTGAAGTACCCGGCAGCAATCCGTACTTGAAGTCACTTGAAGTACCCGGCAGCAATCCGTACTTGAAGTCACTTGAAGTACCCGGCAGCAGTCCATACTTGAAGTCACTTGAAGTACCTATTACAGACACAGTATTACTTCAGCTTCCCTCCATCTAATCAGTCAGTTTGTATCTTAAAATATGCATCTTTCTTCAACTGCTACAAAAAAGTTCAAAACCTTAGAAGCGTAATGGTTATCAACCTCTTTCACATCATCTTCAACACTGAAATGAAGGAAGCTCTCTTCATGTTTAAAATGAAATTAGATCGTTGCCTTGCTCTCCATGGCATCATTTTTTCAACCCCAACGTGAGAAAAATTCAAAGCCTTTTTCAGACCATGACAACTTTTATGGTAAGGATATTTATTCCGTTGCTATCATCATGCCAGTGCTAAAAGTTTTCCAGTGCTTTCTCTTTAGAACTACTCAGTGCAGTGACTCCATCTGGCCTACCACAGGCAGCCTACCAGTTGGTACAAATGAACCCGTTTTTTACTACAGGTGTGATTTGCTTTATTGCTTTAAACTATCTCAGTGGTATACAAAGTGTTTTACATACCTCTATTTATACTAAGTATCCTACAGCTATGTCTAAATCCTTTTTTGAATAATCACCCCCATTGCTCTATAACCACATCAATTCAAGAGACCGTAATTACTAGAAATACACCAGCTTGAAACACCAGTTTGTGTGTTTACATTTGGTCTTTAGACGAGCTCTTCCTGCAGTTTGTGTGGCCTTTGTAGTTTTTTTACCCTCCTTTAAAAGAACAAAATTAGTCAGAAGCAAACAATGCCTTGAAAAGAGAAAGATATTTGCTTGTTATAAGTCTACACTTTTGTAACAAGTAATATTTGCATGAGTGAATACAGAATCACCGTTATATATCACACAGAAAAAGGACTATAAATAGCACACCGAAAACTGCACTAGGCATCTGACAGAACTGTATTTGTAGGTCAAAGACTCTCCTGGCAAGAGAGCAAATCAATCTTCCCCCCCCAGTCCCCAAGACAGAAGTTTGCTGGAAAACATGAACTCATAAATCCATTACTTTCCTCACAGGCACATAATTGTTAAATAAACAAACTGCAATGGAAACTGGCAGATTTCCTTTTATTTGTCTGGATGGTGCTGAGATCCTCACCACACTGGATTCCCAACATCACTGCTGTCAGAAACCTTGAGAAGGACTTCACAGCAAATGTATCTATTTTTACTTTCCTCCCTGAGACTGTAGGTTTTCATGGTCCAAAGCCTTTTTGACTTGTCCCCATGCTGCTCATTCCAAGGATTTTTCTAGGAAAGGAACTTCTTTCTCTCAGTGTAAACTACAGTTTCGTACAGCTAGTAGTGTAAGCAGCACACCAAAACACCCATAACTTACCGTTTTATTGGAGAAAAATACCAATTATCTATCCTTGCAGCATTAGGCATAGGTATGAGTTTTATTTCTCACTCACGCAGTATTACAGTTGGCAGCAGCAGTTGCAACATGAGAAGACGACAGTTCAAAAGGACATCAATTAACAAATAGGAAACCCAGAATTCTGCCATATCCTTTACACAATGGCAAATGATAAGCAAAGCTGTATTGTGACTGCCAAACCACAGAGTAAGCACAAAGCTATTCCAACCTATCTGAGCTTTTAAAAATCACAGCTTGAATGGATGAAGTAAGAGAAATGTCAGTATTTTAACTTACCCACCTAGCTATTTCGGCATAGAGAGAGAAGGGGGGGAAGGGGCAGGGAAGACTAAACCTCCCTCTTCCTTGGAAAAAAAAGTAGTAATGAGGACATTTTACCAAAAACCTTTTAAACTACAAACTCCAATAGCCGTCATTATATCCAAAAGAGGCAAGAAGTCCTCCCGCTAGCTGGAAGCTGCATTAGTCCTGCAAAGCCATCTCAGCAGCTCAAGCAATAGAACAGATACCCTACAGGCATGCCAACTCCACATTCCTTTGAGGTGAGCACTAAACCTTCCTTCTGTAATATGCGAGAAAGGATTAGTGAGGAAGCAGAGCTGTACAGCTCCGGGCAAAAGCTAAGATGATGACTTCAAGGCTAAAAGCCTCCAAATTAAGGCAGATTTCAGGAGCTAATAGAAGAGCAAAACACCTTTTATAATTTAAAACGTTAGACCTTTTCTTCATGGTTTTATTCCCCCTCCTAACAGAACTGCCCTGTCTCTAGCTGTACAGTGGAAGAACAACAATTAAGGCATTTTACTCAGTCCTCGTCCCCTCCCTTTTTAGGAGAAGGACCTGCAAGATAACAGACAGAGGCCTTGACTGCATAACGCACGTGCTGTGTACAGGCAATGATAGCACACAAGATTTCAAAATAAGCATACAAAGACTGACCAGAAGTAAAAGGTCCAGCATGCAGACATATAACACCATCACTTCGATGGTTCTTACACATCTAGGAGAATTCTTCTGGATCTAGGAGAGCACACAGGGAATTTCACGAGGAACATCTAAGCTCGCAGCTGGTATCGAACTTTGAGGGAAGCCAGGAGCTCAAATCCCTCGGGAGACCTAGATCGTAGCATAAGGCCCGGCACAGAGCCAAAGAGACTTCAGAGCTGTAGTCTAGCACAGATAAAAAGCTACTAAGTCTGTCTACCTCCAATGTGAAGAGAAGACCTGCTATAACATGAAAGAACACTGGTCTAGATACCACAAGAGATAAGAGGTTGCTACAGACATCTCGGTCTCTGCAGAACACAGGATTAAGCAGATCATAATTAAACCTAATGCTTATTCCTTCTCAGAATAATGTGTTGACCTAGAAAACCTTCTTTCTAGACTGTGCACACATCTCACATGCTTAAAACACTAAAAATGAGTTTGTAACATCTCGTGGCTCATCCACACACACAGAACATGAACTACACATAACCAAAGTGCAGCCCAGGCTCCAGCAGTTGCCCCAAGGTGGACACGCAGCCGACAGCCACATCGGCTCCCGACTGCTACTGAGCCACGTGTAGGATGCCACGAACCCTAGGGGCTCGCAGTGCCCTCTCCCAGCCCTCCCACCCAGGCTACAGCTCCTCTCAAACCTGCAGCTGTAGTCACCACTTATGTTGTTCCTGGCAAGTTAACACAACCCCAGATTTTGACAGGAGACTGAAACCAGCTCCATACACAGCTGTGGGGGCAGACCAGGCAGGAGGAGTGTGGGGAGGGGAGACAACAGAATCCACACAGTAATGAGAAAGGCCAAAAACCAGGGTAATCTTCTGTATCTTCAGACCAGTTCATCTGACCACAGCTTTCCCCTCATCTAAGGATAGCTTTTTACAGCTTTGTTCATTCCTAAAATAAGCGTAGGTTAATCATTCAAATGTCAGCTGGCCTCCAACATCCACCCATGCTTCCACCCTGCGTGGAGAAGAGGCTTCTATTAGCAACCTGATCTTTTCTTTTTTTTAAAAAAAAAAAAAAGCAAACCAAGAACCAAAATAATACCACGAATAAAACAGAACACAAACTGGTTAACTATCAGCATTAAAACTCTCACCATGTCAGTCTGAGAGGAGATTAAGGCCGTTCCAAATACCATGAAGGGGTCGTGTGGGCTTTTACGCGACAGAAGAACTTCATGGAAGGCTTTTACATTTTAACTTGTGCTCCTTCTCAGGCAAAAGGATAACCACAAGCCAGACGCTGAATTTCAGTTTTCAGAGCAACAGGTAGGGAATATCACCACGAAGAACACATGAGCAGGCACATCCTTAGTTGGACAGAGTTTGAGTTTTTCTGTGACCAGAAATAAGCTGAACTTTTGGGAAGGAAAGGAGAGGGGAAAGACTGAGAAGCTCAATGACAGAAGATGTTGAACAGGTCGCTATAGAAAGAGGTATGGCAGCAGGGTGCAGGAAGGGAAGGGATACAAACTGCACAGCAGACACAGTTCCCTGTAATGAATCCAGCTTCTGTTTTCTTCATACATATATTACCACCAAAAACAGTGCCAAAGGAAGAAGAAAAGGAATAGGACTGCTTTTCTCCCCAACTTTTCTGACACTGACTGCTTACTCAGATCAATTCAGGAAGTAGATCAGATAAGCGATTAGGCCAGAGCTTTCAAGGATCGTAAAGAGAGCACTGGTAATCTACTGATTCAATCTGGTTTGCTCTTAGAGAGCTGGATTTGTTGCTTATGTTAAGTAATGTGACAGGAAAAAAAACAGTGCTGCCAAGAGTTACATACTGGCAAGGTAGAAGAAAGAAAATATATTGTACTGCTTGTTCCCAGAGCATTACTCACTCCTTTAACCTTGCTTCTGAAAAGGGGTCAAGGCAGATTACTTCTCAACTGCCTCTTGCAACACAAGTCTCAGACAAACTTAAGATATTTTGCCAGTGTAATCTTACAAATACTCCCCGTACCACTCCCAAGTGCTCTTAATTTTTGCTAGCTCCCATTCATGAGAACTTGTTTACTGCCTTGATTATGGAGGCAGAACCATCATCAACTCACCCTGACAGATAACTGGCAATTGTTACCAAATATATAATCTGTTTGTACAACTCGCTTATCATCACCCCCTCCAAATATTCCCCCCAAGAAGGGGGTGCCACTCAGTCTGTCACTGCTTACAAAGCCAGTTTGCTGGTGTCTCCAGAAAGGCAACAACAGTGAAACATGAGAGGGTGAGAGCTATCCCCATCCACATCAGTTATGGGGGGGGCTACTGGTCTCAGGGAACAGACTCGAGGAAGAGCTGAGATCAGAAGGAACCTCTGAAGGTCACCCAGTTCAACCCAGCTCACAGCAGGGCTAGCTTCAAGGCTGGATTATATGTTGCTTTGAACCTTACCAAGTGTTAAATACGTGGAGATGAAGATTCAATAAACCCTCCGAGCAACCTGCTCCAACCCAACTGCTTTCATGGTCAACAGCTTGTACCTGGGGAATTTCTCTTGCTGCAACTTGTGACAAGACTCTCGCCTTTTCACTGTGCACCTCTGTAAAGCAGCTGGATTCATTGTCTCCAGAATCCCCTTAAGGCAGTTACACACTGCAGGTAGATCCCCCTCGGGCTTCTTCATGCTGAA